CTTTGTCCTAATAAATAGAGGGGTTGGGGGTGCGCTCTCTCTTGTCCTCTTGCCCAGGTCCAGTGCTGTCCAGTGTGGAGCTGACCCTTGAGGTTGCAGAGCCGCCCCGCCTCCCACAATTGAGAAAAAGGGACCTTCGTGTTCATGTGGCCTTTTCATCACCTGCCCAATCCACACAGAGTGACGCAGAGTGACCCTGGTTCCATCGCCAGCGTGGATCCTGGGCCATAGATGTGTGGTGCTTGTTGGTTTTTTCTCTGTCTGTCCTGGAGGTTGGAGCCAGGAGTGCTTTACCCCTGAGCCACGTCCCCAGTCCTTTTTATTTTATTTATTGTTGTGAGATGGGGTCTCACCACAAATGCTGAGGGTGTCTGGAAATTGCTGAGGCTGGCCTTGAATTTGAGATCCTCATGCCTCAGCCACTTGGGAAGGGAAGAGTGGGTGTCCTTGTTCTTGATGACTATCTCTCCCTACCTTGGAGTTACAAGACCTCCCCCCAAAACAGTCTTCAGTCACCACAGCTATGGTGCACTCTTCTACCACTGGGGAGAAAACCCCCTAAACATAAAGATTAGTATTCTAGATGTTAATATGAAAATTGCTCCAATACTGATGTTACCTTGGCAATAGCTTTGTGACCACAACACAAGGAAGTACTTCCTAAAGATAACACAAACTGAGTGGACACGGTGGCACATGCATATGATTCCAGTGACTCAGGAGGCTGAGACATGAGAATGGCAAGTTCAAGGCCAGCCTCAGCAAGACCCTGTCTCAAAATAAAAATAAAAAGGGGATGAAGCTCAGTGATAGAGCATCCCTGGATTCACTCTCCTCTATAAAAAGAAAAGAAAGGAAGAAGAAAGAAAGCAAAAGCATACTAACTATGAACTAAAACATTGATAAAATGGACCCCGTTCAAATTCTGTTCATAGGGCACCATCAAAACAGTAACCAGATATGTGGAAGCTAAAGAGAATACAGGGGGAAGTGGGGCGTCTCATGAAAATAGAAGGGAGACCAGTGGGGTAGAGGAAGGACCGGGAAAGTAGGAGCAGAGGGAAAGAGGTGCTGTAAAATGAAAGTGACCAAATATGTCATGTGCGTGTAGGAATATGTAGCACCAAGGCAACTAGTGTGTATAATACATCAAGAAAAATGGAAAAGGGAGTAAAGAGACCAAGTGGGGAAGAGACCAATTTAGATACACATGGCACATCCTGCACAGGCCAGCCTGCCCCCACTCCGCCCCACGCATGCCTGCAGGCTGCTGTCGCCCAGAAACTCACGTGATCCGTGTTGCAGCCAGTGACTCTCACCGCAGCACACAGAGCATTGGCTGCTCTCTCCTTATTAAACACCCAGAACTGGACAAACCCTGCAACAAATTCCACTGAAAAAGAAGATGCGCACAAGAGCCAAGTACTAAAAAGAGTGACTCTAGCAGGACACAGCCGATTCACATCTCTAATCCCAGTAGCTCAGGAAGTTGAGGCAGGAGGATCAACAGTTTGAGGGCAGCCTCAGCAACTTAGTGAGGTCCTACCCAATTCAGTGAGACTCTGCCTTAAAATAAAATTTAAAAAGGACTGGGGATGTAGCTCAGTGGTAAAGTACCTCTGGGTTCAATCCCTAGTACCAAAAAAAAAAAAAAAAAAAAAGAGTGACTATAGGCAGGCCCAGTGGCACACACCTGCAATACCACTCACTCAGGAGGCTGAGGAGGAAGGATCACAAGTTCAAGACCAGCTTCAGCAATTTAGTGAGACCCTCAGTAACTTAGTGAAATCCTGCCTCAAAATTAGAAATTAGAAAGACTGGAGCTGGAGTTCAGTGGTAAAGTGCTCTAGGGTTCAATTCCCAGTACCTAATAATAATAAGAACAACAACGATAACTAGAACCTCTTCTTTTTTAACCAGACCAGGATGGCCTAAGCCAAAAGTTTAGGCCAAACATCCAAGATGTAGGGATGGAGCCCACACCCCTGTGGCCAGTGGTTTGTACATTCCAGCTATGAACTTGGCCTCCAAAACCTTTTCCACAGTGTCTAAGCCATTTCATTTCCAACAGTGCACAAGGATCCCAAGGTCTCCGCATCCTGGCCAACACTTGTTATTTTCTGGACTCGTTTTTGTAGCCGTTCTCATGGGTTATGAAGTGGTATCTCACCAGAGCTTTGGTTTGCATTTCCATAATGCTTAGTGGCGCTTAGCACTTTTCATGTGCTTTTTGGCCATGTGTATTCCTTCTTTGGAGAATTGTCTGTTTGAGTCTTTTACCAAGTTGTGAGTTGCGTTGTTTGGGGTTGCATTGTTGAATTTTAGGAGTTCATATATGATATGCAAATATTTCCTCCACTCTGTGGTTGTTCTGCTCTGTTGATAGTGCTTCTAAATTACAAACACACACACACACATATTTGGGTACTAGGGATTGAACCCAGGGGCACTTTACCACTGAGTTATCAGTCCTTTTTATTTTTTGTTTTGAGACAGGGTCCCACTAAGTTTCTGAGCCTGGCCTCAAGCTTGTGATCCTCCTGCCTCTGCCTCCCCAGTTGCTGAGATTACAGGTTTGTGGCACCACACCCTGCCAAATGCACAAAATGTTTAATTCTCTTGAAGGCTGATTAGTCCTTTCCTTCTTTAGTTGCCTGTGTCATTGGTGACAAGTCTGAGAAATCATTGCCAAAGTCACTACTATGAAGACTTTGACCTGTTTTGATCTAAGAGTTTTATAGTTGTAGGTCTTACATGTAGATTACGGATCCATTTTGAACTAATTTCTGTGTGTGTGCTATTAGGCAAGGGTCTAGCTTCATTCTTTTGCATGTGGATATTCTCTTTCCCCAGCACCATTGGTCAAAAAAGGTCCTCTTCCCATTGAGTGGTCCTGGCAACCTAGTTCCAAGTCATTTGACCATAATGTGAGGGCTCATTTCTGAGCTCTCTGGTCGATTCCATTAGTCTCTGTGCCTGTCTTTATGCCAGTAGCATGCGGTTTTGATCACTGTAGCTTTGTAACACATTTTGAAATCAGGAGGCATGAACTTTGAAATTAATTGCCAAGAATAACGAAACTATTTTCCTGGATTCTATGAGCCATTCTAGCAAATTATTGAACCAGCCAGAGAGGAATGATTGACACTTGGAGTAGTGTTGATAAGGAAGGGCTGATTATAAACATGGTTGTATTCTAGAGGAAAACAAAATAAAATGCCAAACATTTAACCAAGGGCCAGTACTGATGTCATCCTGTCCCACCTGTACTATAACCCAGTGGGGATGATTGGGTCACTTGGCCCCTTTTGAACAAGGCCCTGAAGATGGGATCCAGGAGGGTTAGCTACTACCCTAGAAGAGGCATCCTCAGAGGCCTGCAGCCCCATCCTTCCCTAAGGAGAAACCCACCACCAAGGCTGTCAGAAACCAATCCCCCACACAAAAAGACTATTTTCTTCCTTAGGAGTTTCAGGTAGAGGATGCAAATTGAGCAGTCCATATGGGTAAGGTAAGAAGGAGCAGGACAAAA